TTCAGTTACAATATCTTTGGAGTCTCACCTCATAATCTTTTCTTGGAAGGATTTCATCATCTTCATCATGAGTTTCCCCTAGAATTGTCTGTCATAAGCAAGTGAAAACAGGAAATAGAAACTAATTACATGGAAATCTTGTTACCCACATTCGTTAAATTGCACAGCCTATTTATAAAACCAGTAAGCAGACAAATCAAGGGGTTTATTTGCTAAACTCCCCTATCCTAAAAGCTGGTTTACCTTTACATTTTTCAAATATTTAACTCAAACAAGGAAATTGTTTTCAAAAATATTTTGTTTCCCCAAAAGGTTACAAATATTGCAACACAGACTTCTTTTCATGAGTAAATAAAGCTAGCAGGGAGCTGAATCAGTAAAAACACGAGCATGTGCTTATGTTTTCATTTTTAACAAATAAAGCACTTGTCAGGAAAGGAAAACAAACAAATATGGGTGACAGAGTTACAACTTGTTATTTATATTGCATGTACGCAGTATTTAACAGAGTGTACACATACAAAGTCATTGTCTGCACAATTGGAAAACAAAGCCACAACACTGATGAGTTATGGGATATATGAAGACCCCATCCATTACAGCTCCAGTCTGGGAGTAGCATTCCCTGGGGATCAGCAGATAGCCTTATGGCATCACAGTAAGGACCTGTGCTTTTGTTCATCACATAGCCTTCGTAACCGCAGTACAATACCTTTTTTACTTTTAGAGATTATTTTTTACATATGGTAGTTTATCAACACGCTTAATATAAAAAAAAATCGGTGCCCTGGTCTAGACTCAACCCTTTGTCGTGCACAGCATTACGAATTCGTCTAACGTGCGCTTCATCCCTCGACTTAACTGGTCATGTTCATATCTCACGCAGCTCTTCACGACTGTCTGGGCTTTATTTCCCACTGTTCTACAGCAATTCGAAGAATTCTGAATGAAAGCCTTCTTCATTCTTAACTGAGTGTGCACATACAAAGTCAGTGTCCATCAGGGCTTCGACTCCAATCACAGTAGCCACTGCCCAGAGCTCAGCGGTGGCCCTACGAAATGTCGCATTCTCATGCAGAAAACCCGTTATGCCGCACGCGTTAACACCTTTTAAGAAATAAATAAAGCAAAACAACGCAGGCATTTCCAAAACATGACAATATAATTACACAGCAGGGAGGAAAAGAGTGAATGAAGGGGGGAAAAAAAGAGTTTGGTCAAAGGATCGAGATGAGCTTTTTTTGCAGGTCAGAGCAACAGAGCAACAAAAGCATGAAAAACAGCACAGCGTTCACCCATTGTACCAGTTCCTCGGGCGTCCTGGTCTCCCCTTCCCTGCAGCAGCACTGACAACACAGACAGCTCCCACAACACGCCATCTTCCCCACCTCGGCATCCGCCTGACAGCGCTCACGTCACATGACCTCGCGGCGGCCCGTGCGGCCACGTGCTGAAGCAGCTCGGGGAGCCGCCATTGCGGGACACATGGCTCTTTAAACGGCCAGGACGATAGAGAAGGGGATCGCATGCGCTAGGCTAGGGAGTGCATTTATGTACCAAGCAATTGCACGGGAGCGCAGCACGGGGAAAATTAGGCTCTTCGATTTTGATCCTCAAGATAGATTGCAAATGTACTGATTTATAAAGGCACGCGCAAAACCGCTCTAAAAAGATAGTGATTATCTAGACTCTAGACTAGATTAACCTCGGAACACCAGTGTTGTTGACACGATCTTCTATATCCTATCGTACTATTTCGATACCTAGTAAGCATTGAAAATATAGCAATTTAAAGATGAGTTGCAGGCCTGTGGAAATAAATTTCATTCGGGAAAGGGTGAATCTTCTGTTTGAATATTTAATTGTTTGAATTGTCAGCCTCCTCCTACGTGACAGGCTTCACTGCACATAAATGGATCCGGCGACAGTGGTGCAAGATGCCCGCACAGCACCCGAGTGTCCAGTTGTGGAACTGGAAAGGTCTAGTTACACAACTGTCACCGCACGCCGCGCAGTGCTGTCCGCTTTTGGGAATGTCACCACTATCCTCCAAAACTTTATCGAGCCGGTTTCAGTAATCTCTCTGAAACTCCCCCCACGCTCTCTCCACTCCGCCCCCTGAAAGGGGAAACTTCCACCGGCTGCACCCGCGTCACGTGACAGGCTATATTTAATATTATTTTGTGAGCGACAGAGGCTACAATTTAACCACGTTATGAATCGACCTGCTGCCCCAGCTACATCTAATAAAACATCGCAGCATTGTCATCAGAACGCTACAAGCTGATCTCAGCGTTAGTTGCACTGCTTAAATCCAGGTAGGTAGTGATTTATTTAATAGTAAAAAGTTAAGCAGCACTAGGTTTTTTTTTTTTACTGTTACTGAGCAGTATGTTTAAACCACAGAGTTCTGTGCTCCCCGATAATGAATGGTTCTGGTACTTTTTGTATTAACCAACGCATTTGCAATGAGATAAGCTTTGAAAACGACCTATTTTTTTGGTAGTTGCAGAATAAATGAAAACGAATGTGTGAAGTACCCTATTCAAGGGAATGAAATACTCACTTGATCCCAGATATCTGGGGTTCTCCTCAGGGGTCGTTCCTACTTCATGCCTTCCCAGTAGTTTTCTTCAATGCCTGCATGTCTAGTGTCTGGAAGTCTCTGAAAACGCTGCAGTGATCAGATGGATTTCGGACTAACAGTAAGCGGACAAAGCGCAGTTTTTGGAAGCGATGTAGAGGATCAGTATTTCTAATAAGCTTAGCACTGAACCTACATCTTTGGTTCAATGGGCCTACTTTTTCTGGTAGGTTTTGAATGTGTATTGTTGAATGAGAACAAAGACGTTAAAGGAGCAGATGTAGATCAAACAACTGTGATGTGTGAATCTAACGTTAAAATATCACCGGTGCACAGCAGAATACTATACTTGCATAAGGGAAGCTAATCACGTCATGAAAGAACAATAACTCAGTATATTATTTTGTAAAACAACATACAGTGTAATACAATAATGCATCCCTTGCATATTAAAGTACTTACCAGATTATAATACCCAAACTGAAAAAAAAAATAGAAACACTTTTTATTTCTGAGGATGAAAAACAGTGTTTATTTCTGTGGCACACAAGAAAACCGAGGAATGTTTCTCTGCTCCAAGACCCAGGCGGCTGGGTTACTTGCATAACTAACCCGTCCGGCTCTTCGATTGTCGCAAACTATCAGGTCTCCGTATGATGAAATGAAAATGTTGCGTTGCCAAAGGCAGTTTAGTTTTAATTTAAATATAAAATATTCCCAGTTACAAACTTTGGCTTAATCAGGTTTGAGTGATTAATTTGGTGTTTAATATAACTGGTCTTGTGCGAATAGAGAAATACCCTTCTCTGCACGTTTTTGAGAAGAGATTGCATGAACCTCGTGTCTTGATTTGGCAAGATTTTAAAAGGGAGAAGTGTCATCTTAAAACAAAGTGAGGATTAAAATGTAGATGCCTTTTCAAATAGTGTAACAATGTTATTTCCTCTGAAGCCAATAAACAAAATACCAAAAACAAAATATTTAGAAAACTTTTGAGAACATTTAGAAAATCCAGAAAAAAACATTTTTAAGTGGCATTTTTTAATGACATCAGTCCAACTTCACTTCATCTACAGAGACATTTTTGTATATATGGCTTGGCCTCTGTAAAGGTTATTGCTATCATATGGTTTCACTTCATTGACTTTCCTTTGTAGCACAGTGGTGCTCTAGGACCATGTTCCAAAATAAACTCTTGTCAGCCCCTCCCACTGTAAAGAACTGGCAACACAAAAGTACAGTACGTTACAGAACTGAAAAGATTAAAATAATTCAGATGTTGAAATGCAATGTTAGTACGTGATGTTCCATTTGAGACGTTTAAGCAGATAAATTAATTCTTGCTATTGATAACACCTTGTTGTTTTACCCCACTGTTTCTGTTCTGATTAGTATAGTGGATGTGATGCTTTTTATTATGGAAATAATGGTTTCCTAGATTGTTGATCACCTAGGACCAGGGAGTGTTTGAAAACTGACAACAAGGAGTTACAGAAGGGTCACGTCTTTGATGGGACCTGATCCTGGAGTATCTGTAAGTGCAAGCGCATACAAAAGTAGGGTTTTATGAAGGGCAGTGTGAGAGTAGAACTGTGTGGAGTATTTATTGCACCTCAGTCTGCCTCTGATTCCCAAGTAAAACCACGCCTGGCAGCAGGCTAGATCTCGGGAGCTCAGGTGAAGTGTGGGAGCGTGTTCTGTGGAGGACACCCCAGTCCCTCACGAGTGGGCGTGGCGCTCACCCGCAGGTCGCCATGGTGAACGAGCTGCCGCAGACGGACAGCAGCGGCCAGCCCTGGCGCTGCGACTCCAGCGGGCCGAGCAGCAGCGGGGGGGACAGCTCCAAGGAGAGCTCCCGCTGCTCCACGCCAATCCTGGACACCGACCGCGCCGAACGCCTGCGCGACAAGATGAGGAGGCGCACGGACTCGGGGGACTGCTGGTTCTCCCTGGAGTTCTTCCCTCCTCGCACCTCCAGCGGAGCTGTGAACCTCATCTCCAGGTCAGAATCTCGGACTCGTCCTCTCCCACCTCCTTCCTCTGGTGTGCTGCCAAGTTTCTCATCTTACTACACCGGCTTCTTCCAAAACCAACGGAGAGACATCCCTGGATCAGTCACCTCCAAGCAGCCAAATGAACTGGATGGGTGAAATGGCCTCTTGTTTGTAAAAGTTCTTCCATTCTCCATGCCATGAGTCTGGTTTAGTGTGTTTATTAATCCTTAAGAGTTCTTTTCTCAGAAACCACCAGTGGCATGCTAAGGCATTTGATAGCTCTGTAAGAGTACAAACATTGTAGAATGAAAGCATCCCCCCCCCCCCCATGGAGAAGCCTGATGGTTTTCAGGAAAATGTTTGGAAAGGCTAAGTGCATATGCTCATTTAAGGACACGTACACTAGTAAATATACTGTGGTTTGAGAGTAGTTGGAAGTGATGTATAAAGTATATGAACCAATTGTACAGAAAAACAAAGCTAAAGACATCCTCTGTATGTGTGTGCCAGATCATGGGGGGAAAAGTCAAATGTTTTCAATTAATTAATCTGAGGATCTCCTTGTACGATTACTGCATTGAATTCAATTCAATTCAATTCAATTCAACTTTATTGTCATTAAACTTACACAGTAAGTTTTACTATGCACTTACACAGGTGCATAGTATAATGAAAAGTGTTTCTCATTAGTCACTCAGGTGCAGTATATAAATAGGACAGAAGATAAGACAATAGACAGTTACACAATAGCAATAACAGTAACATGTAATAACATAACATAAATAACATGTAATCAAGTAATCGAAATGTTAAATTGAGGAGTATATTGTTAAGATTGCCCAATGAACTAACGAGACCTCATTTAAAACATCATGTTGTGTCGTGTCCTTCACATAGGTTTGACCGTATGGGGGCAGGTGGGCCACTCTTCATTGATGTGACCTGGCACCCTGCTGGAGACCCTGGATCAGACAAGGAGACCTCCTCCATGATGATAGCCAGCACGGCTGTCAACTACTGTGGCCTGGAGACTGTGCTGCACCTCACCTGCTGCAACCAGACCAAGCAGCAGATCACTGCACATCTGAGCAAGGCCAAGCACCTGGGCCTTAAGAACATCATGGCTCTAAGGGGAGGTGGGCCTGAGAGTTCTGTTCTAAAGCTAGGGCAGATTCCGGTTAGCTTGAACAGGATATTTCCCAGAGCAAGTGAGCCTTCCAAACCGTTTCAGCTGACAGATTTATGAGGATAGCCATCTAAACTATTAAAATATTACTTTATTCCATGGAATGTTAAGTTGTGCGTAGCAAAATTCTACATTGGTATAGAGAGGATGAGCTTAGTAGTCCTTCCACACAGAGTAGTTTTTTGAAACAGCCTAATAAAAACCTGAAGAAATTCCCACTTGGAAATTGTCTGCTTCCTTCATTGTCATTCCCTGTTTAATTGCTATGTAAACCGTTTATTTCTTGTGGCTTTGGATGTCTTCCAGATCCCATGGGAGCTGAATGGGAAGAAGAGGAGGGAGGTTTCAACTATGCCACAGACCTGGTCAAACACATTCGCTCTGAATTTGGTGACTATTTTGATATCTGTGTTGCTGGTGAGTTCCTTATGCTGATCTTCATATTTATTTCTGGAGTAAATGAAGACCGATTAAGTTAAAAAGACTGTTAAATCCAAAAAAGATGTGCAAAATATTCAAATTTCTCTACAGTTCAGAAGACTAAAGATTGCATTCAGTATTCTTGGGGACTTGTCATGAAGCCTCTCAGATTTGTTCCCCAAGATTTGAACCCATTGGTGTTCTCTGCCACTTCTTGACGGGTTCTCAAGTTAACCATGTGCCAAATTCTGTTCTTGTGCGAAAGGCTACCCCACTGGCCACCCGGAGGCAGTGACCTATGAGGATGACCTGAAACATCTGAAGGAGAAGGTGGATGTGGGGGCTGATTTTATCGTCACACAGCTCTTCTTCAGACCAGAAACATTCCTCAAGTTTGTCAAGGACTGCAGGGCTATGGGGATCACCTGTCCCATTTTGCCTGGAATCTTTCCTATTCAGGTATCTAGGAATGGCATCTATTTCACTGGAATTACAGTATATCGCTTTTGTGTCTTGTAAACAGAGTACAATTACATGTTGGGTAATGAGGAAAGAGAAGTACCTGTATTTTGAACATTTGAAATGCATATCTAACATTGTATGCTTTCATTTTTCTCTTTTTAAAAGCTCCGTTTCCTAAAGTTGGCAAGAGGTTTCTTTATAGTTTGGACTGGAATTTGTAATGTGATTTGAATAAATGTTCCGCCAATAGTATTTTTAATCGCTGTGGAGTTCTCATGATAAATTTTAGAATTGCAGCAGACGGTAGTAAGCTGTTTCAGTCAATTTACTGATCTTATGTGAGGAACTTATTGTTAGATTATTGTAGTGAAAAATTAAAAGTAAGGAACATTCCCGGGACATTAAGGAACGTCCTACCCTGACAAAGAACCTTTTCTTTTGAATCTTACAGAAAAGATTATGAAACTGATCCATGTATGCAAAATCCTGGCCAAAGTCAATCCAGTGAATTTATTCAGAGTCGTCAATGAACACAAATCAAAGTACAGAAGTAGAAACTAAGCAGAATACATTTACAACGGAGAGCAGGAGGTCCAGTCATGTTGTTGAAGTTGATAAACTGGCATGTTTCAAGAAAAGATTTGTATTGATTCAGATTTGGCAACTAAACAATAAGCCTCTTGACCTCCTCATATCTGTGATCTTTTTTTTGTTTTTATATATTATCCTGAAATGTAAAAGACTGTAAGCCCTTTCTTGTGTTTGGCACTGTGTGCCTAGGGGTACCAGTCTCTGCGCCAGCTGGTGAAACTCTCCAAACTGGAGGTTCCTGAAGAGATCAAGCAGGTGATCGAGCCCATCAAGGACAATGATGCTGCCATCCGTAACTATGGCATTGACCAGGCAGTGGGCATGTGCAGAGTGCTGCTAAAAAGTGGTGTGGTGCCTGGCCTCCACTTCTATACTCTCAACAGAGAGGTGGCTACCATGGAGGTCCTGAAGCAGCTGGGCTTGTGGATTGAAGACCCCAGGTTTGCACTGTTTATTTTTAATGTGGAGCCACCTCCCTAACAGCATTATTTCCAGATCATGTGTTAAAAACAAAAAAAGATACGCTGGTCTGTAGTCTTGCTGAGTATTATTCAGTTTGTGCAGGCACATGATGCTGGAATCAAGAGAAGCACCCCCCCTTCCAGCTGGCTCTGAAAGTCTGGCATGGGGCTGCAATATCTGTGACAAAACATGGGGAGCTTGGTGACTAGGCCAGGAGAGTGGGTCTGCACGTCCTCATTCTCTCCTGCTAGTGGTCATGCGGTTTAGAGATGTGAAAAACACACCACTGCCGATTCCAATTAAATAATTTAAAATTGAAACCCATCTAGGAAGGGCCCAGTTAAGTTTACTAGTTCACGAAAGCTAATGCCTAATGCTGTGATTTAATGCAATGACCTACATAGACAACCAGTACAAGTTTGATTTATGACAAAGTTAATGGTCCTTCGCTTATGGCATTCTGAGCTCTTTCAGGGACCTAAAGGACATGGCGGAACATCTGATTGTGTTTTTCCAGGCGGCCACTCCCATGGGCAGTCAGCGCTCATCCTAAACGCAAAGTGGAAGATGTCAGACCAATTTTCTGGGCTTCCAGACCCAAGAGTTACATCTACAGGACACAGGAGTGGGACGAGTTCCCCAATGGAAGATGGTATGGGCTGCAATTTATAAGTGTCTGTTAATTTCATATTAAGCCTTCTGAAAAGTGTTTAAGAAAATAAAGAATTTAGCATGTAAGTTGACGAAAACTGGATCGTCAGGTGTGTAATTAGATTGGACTTGCACTTAACTGAGTGACATAATACGTGTATGCTTTAAAGAGAAAACCTGCTTGAGGCATACAAAATGTGTCTGCAGAAAAATTATTTGGTGGTCATCGTTTTTAAATAACATTTCCCTGCAAAAATACAATTACCGCATGTTCTGTTTGGCTTACATGCTGTGAACAACAGGAGTAGATGTTCTAAAATAATAAGGTAAGAACGTGTCTAGAGTAGTCTTATAATTAATAGCTCATATATCCACTCCACCTCTTGCACGATACTGGGAGCGGAAGATGCTCTTGTTTCACAAAATCTCACCTGGAGGAGATGGGTGTTCTTGCTTGGCAGGTGACACGCACACAGGGTGTGTCAAATAAAAACACTCTAACCAAGGTCTCTGGCTCTTTTAGATAAGGTCACAGGACTAGAGATTCTTCCTCCTATGTATTACATCAAACGTGACATGTGGACTTGTTTTGGTTTCCTTGTTTCCTGCTAGAAACTCAGAGGTGCATTACAAGGGATTACCTCTCCAGGACAAGAGTAGGGCGATAGCTATCTATCACCCTCTTGTTCTTAGAATAACTATTTCAATTCTTTTTTGGAAACGTTTTAACTTCCTATTTTTTTAATGTGGCATTTATAAATATATGCATCTCTCTCTAAATCTTCCAGTTCTGATACTTTATTTTTCTAAGATTCGATATAACATCTACTATAATATTTCCAATCTGGTAAATAACTTTATTCCATGTGTATGAAGGTAGACTGATTTAACAGTTGAAGAGAGCTGTAATCGAGTTGTGTCCTGAGCCTTTATCTTCACCCTAACCCCTCTAACTGGTTCTCATTCATCCTAGGGGGAACTCATCATCACCTGCTTTTGGAGAGCTGAACGACTATTACCTCTTTTACTTGAAGAGCAAGTGTTCCAAGGAGGCCCTGCTGAAGATGTGGGGAGAGGAGCTGATGAATGAGGAGAGCGTCTTTGAAGTGTTCACTAACTATATCACCGCACAACCCAACTGTGCTGGGAACAAGGTAAGTTGGGCAGCAGTCCATAATGGCCTACTGGAGGAATGTTGAAGTCCCATACGGCGTTTTGGTACATGGATTCCTAGTGTTCTTCAACAACAGGAGTGCCCTTCTTATTCCAAGCATGATTGGGGGATATGCTTTCCAACACGTATAACATTCCTTAGGGATTGTATTTGTTTGAAGATGCCATCCTTCTGTGTCGCAGGTGATGTGTTTGCCATGGAATGAGGACCCACTGGCTCCGGAGACGAACCTGCTGAAGGACCAGCTGGAGAAAGTGAACCGCCGCGGTGTCTTGACCATCAACTCCCAGCCCAACATCAACGGGAGCCCGTCCTCTGACCCTGTTGTGGGGTGGGGCCCCCCTGGAGGATATGTCTTCCAGAAGGTAAAGCTTTAGTCCAGCAACAGTGGACATGTAGTGCTGCAGGCAGTGAAGTTCAGTGAGCGTTACTACTGTTATTATACAAACTGTTATTATACAATAATTTTAATATACTCGCCGTGCGACCTTTAACAAGTCAGCTACACCACAAAATAGTGCTGCCTGTCAGGATGTCTGCCTTTAAATTGGTAAATTAGAATTTTCCTCCTATTCATGCTTTTAATAATTTGTAATCAACAGGCATATCTGGAGTTTTTCACATCAAGTGAAAATGTCACAGCACTTCTTCAGGTACTAAAAAAGTACGAGCCCCGTGTTAACTACCACATTGTGAATGTCAAGGTATATACATTTTTTACTTTTTAGATTTACTAATAATCAAGCTACCAACTACTTCTTATTAGCTCTGATGGGTGATTTTATTTTAAGTGTCAAATCTATATAATCCTCACTTCTAGGGAAAGAACATAACAAATGCTCATGAAATGCAGCCGAATGCTGTGACTTGGGGGATTTTTCCTGGCCGAGAGATTGTGCAGCCAACAGTTGTGGATCCTGTCAGCTTCATGTTCTGGAAGGTGGGAAATAGTAATAGGAAAACTTAATCCTAAATCCAATGAGGGAACTCCACTTGCGAGATAAATTTTATGTAGTGAACACGTGTTTTAAGCAGTGTGCAGTCTGAGGTACTCTTTTGTTCATTTTGTGGGAGAACAAAATCCAGTATAATATCAAATCCAGCATATAAAATATCAAAGTCTAAGTCTCTGCAAGTCTCTAATTAATGTATTGTTGAAAATTCTACTAAAGTTTCATTGATCTTTGTTAAATACGTACATATATGGGAAGAACGGATGATAAACGGATGTTTTATTCCTGAAACGAGTCTAACGTTTTTCATTTGTAGGATGAAGCCTTTGCTTTATGGATTGAGCAGTGGGCTAAACTGTATGAGGAAGAGTCCCCTTCTCGCATGATCATCCAGTACATCCATGACAACTACTACCTGGTCAACCTGGTGGACAATGACTTCCCTCTGGACAGCTGTCTGTGGCAGGTTATAGAGGACATGTTTGAGCTGTTGGATTCTCCTGCTGAACATCCTGAATAACTCTACCCTTGCAACAGCTGGGCTCCCCACAGCCTCTCCATTGCATTCTTTGAATGCTACTTTAGAAAACTTGCACTCCTGCATACAGTAGATTTAAAATGGAAGTGCTATTCTGGGGTATACAATGTATACAAGAAGATTCGACCTTCTTTTAGTAATGCAATACTTTTACATCCATTATTTTAAATGTTTTTTAGCAAGTATATTATTTTTCTAGGGGTATTGTTTTTGTAATCTGGAGGTGAACTTCTGCCATCTTATAAACATGACGTGAACTTTGCAGTAAGAATTGCATACAGAAACGTATGAACTCATATAAAGCTACCAAAAAGTTTTCACCTCATCCTCTGCAGAAATCACCTTGATCAGTATTTTTCTTTCTGCAGTGTTGTATATTTTGTGTGTTAAAAAGCCACAATTAATATGGCTTTTTTTACAGCAGCAAAAAATTATCTCAATGATAAATAAGCTCAATACTTTTTTTTCCAGTTTTGTATTAACAACTTTTATGACAATATTTTCCTATCTTTCTACAATTCCTTTAACATATTTATTACATTAAGCACTAAAGAAGAATTGGAATGTTATCTTAAACAAGTGATTTTGTAATAATGTATTTTAAGAAAATTAAATAGGATTGAAATAAATATCTGCAAATAATTTAAAGATATACAGGGTTTCAGGTACCATTTTTATAATAAGCTTTATTAGAAAGGTTAAACTGGTAACTGGTTTTATGTGGCTATGAATTTAAATAAATGTATATATTTCCTTACGTTAAGACATTCTCTACAGTACTCAACTTTTAACCAAAGGCTAAACTACTCATTTTAAATTTTTTTTGGATTTGAATTAAGAAGTTTTTGTTACACGCATTTTTTTTATGTGAACAGCACTCCAAATATTAAAAGGACCTATAGAATTTTCTTAATCACCCCTGTTACTTTTATGTTATTGTTCCAGCACACACCGGGCTGTGGCTTATGGGTTCCAACAGCACAGAAAATACATGTTGCACAATTATGCTATGCAAGTTTGTTATAATGAAACTTTAAAGATATAGAACACTGTTACAGTTTTGTCTTGAAATAAAAATGTGTGCCTTCGCAGAGTCTCAAGACCCATTTTATTTTATCCTTCTGAAAAAGAATTGGTCATTTGCCTCTAGATCCTACAAATGTGGCCATATTTTCACAAACCTGAATAAATTGCAAGGATTGGGTCACTTTCATCAGCAGGTTTTACGTCACATTATCTGACATGAAGTCATACCATACTGCCATGTACAGAGTGGACATAGTACAAAACCTCTTATCTTCCTGAACTTGATAACCCACTAATATTTCATGTGTGCACTTCTGTTTTGTATTCCTTTGTTTAATAATGCTGTGACTTTTCATCTGCCACATTAATGTTCTGATATCTGGGTTCAACAAAATTGGTTTCAGTCTTGATTCCTGACATTCGAACCAGGATTTTGTTAATACAAGTCTTTATAGCCTCCACATATATACATATATTTTTGTATAAAATACATTTTATACAAAACAGTTTTCTATAAACTGTATAAACTGGTTGTGCTTTGTAATTCATTCTTGCAAAGCCTGAAAGATAGAGGGTGTTTATACAGTCTTACAATATGGCTATTTTTCACACAGTTGTAATTGTAGTTCACACTTATTTGCCTTTTTTAAAGAAATTGGGACCGGGATTAAACACTTAAAAAGAGAATGTTCTACAGAGTACTGTACTGCAGCATTAAATGGCCATTATGAGCCAAAAAGACTGAGGTAATGGCTCTGGAGAACACTGGTAACATGAGAAAGTACAGGGAGGAGCTGTAAAGAAACAGCTGAGACACCACAAGTGAACTCACTGGCCCCCCGAGTGAGGAACAGGCAATTGCACATTGTAATGGAAGTGTGTGAAAGGTCAAGAGAATGCACTGTTACTCTTTCTCCCTTCTATAAAATGTAAAAATGCAAAATCTGTTTTCTTTTTCAGATTAAAGGATACCGTTTAAAAATGCTCCCGCTGCTCTTAATTCTATTTAGAAAATATGAACTGACAGCACACAGAGCCTAGCAACTATTTTAAATACTAAGCCACAAGACTCAAGTAGCATGTCGTCTGTGTTCTTCGAGTCTAGCTGAGGTCCTTTTGGAGATAGTGAAACTATACCTTCTGTGTAGAATGCTTTGCCTTTAGCAGAACCTTCTACAGGCCTCATTTGGTTACTCCAATCAGCCACGTGTATAGTACATGCTGTAACAGGCATGATAAAAGTATTTTTAGCCATTAAACTGTTTGCTCATGTAAGGCAAACTTATTCAGTCTGTGTAACAGCAGGTTGTATTAACTGTCACAAACTCTGGTAAAACCATGGATCTGAACTTTTTCACAATCAATAATGTGGAATTTGTACTCAAAAGCTCTTAAAATATTAATCTGTAATATCAGAGTGCAAAGACATTTAAAATATTTCACAAAATTCAGAGCATAACTAATCATACATCTTGAAAACATAGTGATTTAAGCTGTTAATACAATTTCCAGCAAATTAAATGTTGATGTCTGAAATTGCAGATCCACTGCCAGTATGGGGAGTCCTGGCTCGAATGTGCTATGTGGTTTATGTGCTTAAGGGATGCATTTCTCAGCAAGGCTCCATGCCAATATTTACACAAAAGGAGTCTGTTTATGAAGAGGGAGCTGCAGGGAGCTGGGTTTCACTAGGATTAGGATTTTTAGGAATTTATGGAAGATCTGTCTTTTATGTTTTCAGAAACAAATCATTTATGTTATTTATTATGTTATTATTTATAATCCAGTTTCACTTCATATAGCTAACTGAATACTGTACCAATTGGAGAGAAAATAGAACTATGCACTACACTGAAATATTACAAGGAATGAAAAAGAAATCTGGTCACTTTTATATATTAATCTCATATCTATGACACAACCAGTTCTTCCATTGACCAATGAGGGGGCAGGAGTTCCACCCTGGACACAGTACTGTGACAATTATTAAACATCTATACATCTTTAGGTAGATTAAAATAAACTACAAGGGATGTAGAGATGTAATCAACATCTGACTAGAAGTCCACAAATGAATATGCACATTTTGTTTTCCTTTTCTAGTATGCAATCGCGATAGACAATACAAATCATCTAACAGGTTTGATGGTTTCTTGATTTTTACAGGACTGCAACAATCACTGCAAGTCTCGAGAGAAGCACCATCACACCACCAGTTAGATCCAAAGTCCATACTTTTCTGTCACACATGACCACGTCACCCTTCCTCTGTCTAATGTAACATCTTCTGGGCAAAGCTGCGTTTGTGCCAGGCAGTGAAAACCTATTCAAGAAGAAAAGGTTATTTTTAAAGCACAGTTAAAGATTTCTAATACAGATCTTACTGAATTGCGCAGCATAATTTTAGAAGATGTTCCACCACTGCTCTTACCTCAGTTAACAAGGCTCTGTTCTGCTGCACCAAAAATGCAACAGAAACTCTTGTCTGTATCCTCCTTTTCCTCCACATTTTCCAAGCCTTCCCCAGCAGGCTCTGTTCATACTAGAAAGCAGAGGCACCAATTTAAGTGCTAGTTTTCACATTCTGGACCACTCTGATGATTTTACTTTTCATGCTTAGACATGCTTCGATGTGTTTGTTATTGAATTGGGGTACTGAATTTAGTCAGACACGAGCTTCAACACCCTTGTTGAATGTCATACAAAATGCCCCTAAATCTGGGATATAACTGGATTCCAGGAAGTCTGGGAACCTTGAATACAGGCATGGTAGGAGTCTGTAATACGCTACACTTTTTGATATTATAAAAAACAAGATCGATAAAAATTAAGAATCTGCCCCATGGAGTAAAGCAGGCAAAGTCTATAGAATTGCAGTTGTTCAGAATGCAACAATATTAAAAAAAACACTGTTAAGAATCTAAAAATGCCTTTATTTGTCAAATGTGAGTTACCATTTTTCAGCTTTACTGTTACATACTATGATCAGACTTTGCTACACAAAGTATACTCTGTTTTGAGGGTGGGAGGTTTATGAATCTTTAGCAAAATGGGACCTATATTACAACACTCCAAAGAGTATGAATTTTCATTGTGCTAAAGCTTAGTAATGGTGATTTAGTGGTGGTGAGCATAACCCATAGCCTTCGTACTCCTCACCATGCTCCTGGTGAACAGGATGGCTGCAGTCTCGCTCTTCCACTGATCCCACAGGAGAGCTGTGCGTCTTCTCTGCAGGCGCCTGTGAAACTTCTGCAGGAGAGCTCCTGAGTGCCACCTCTTCCAGTACTTCTCACTAATGAAACAGGAGGTCAAATTTATGCATAACCCCAGAGGTTTCATGGTGCTGCACAGAAGAACACTGAGAGGGCACAAAAGCTTTTAGTTTTCAGTGTTGTGTTATGAAAATAAATTGACTTATGCCATTAATCTGGAAAGTCCCGTGCTAATTAAAAAAAACAAACATATATGCGTATCAATGCATGTGTGCCATTAAATGTCCACATTTATAAATTAAATGACAGTTAAAGTAATGTACTACACTCACGTGAAGGCCCAAAGACTTCAATATTCAATGCAATGTTAAGAAGTTGGTTAACTTTGAGCTGTAGTATGCATTGCCCTGGACAGTAAATGATTAACAATGATTGTAACCAACCAATAGTCATTTATATTCTAGAAGCATGTTTGCTTTAGCCTTTTATGAATCAAATCCAAAAACAAAAACACAGAAAGCCTGGCATCAACAGGGAGTGTTGTGAAATACAAACAACAGTGAGTGTTAGTGCAGATGTTGGAAAGACCCTGGTCCTGAATATTCCATGAGATGAAAGCCATGTCAACACTGATTGGGACTAATGTCACTCTAAAGGGATTTTGATAACACTTTAGGGGATGTAAACTGCAATTAAAATTATTTGTATCATGTAATTGATTAACATGGAATTGTGTTAATAATCGTTGTAAATGATTTACTAATAATAATGTTTATTAAAAAAAGCTAGTTTTCTAAATATGTTTTATTAGTTAACTCTACTACTGATTGCCAAGAACTGTTTGATAGGAAAAGGGTAGATTGTAAATAAAGAAATTTAATATCAGGAATATTTTTCTAATAGTTTTGTTTAACTGGCTTTTTGTTTTTCCACATGTTAATAACTTTCTGGATGATTAAAAAGTGCATAAAGGGATGAATATTCAAAAATCCCTTTACAGCTGCATCAACCCTACTCTGCCAGCCAATACTGAATAACGATGCGCATTTTTAATAAAAATGAAAATATTAATTTGTGATTCCTCACAATTCAGCCATACCAGAGTCTCATATGGTACCAATCTTCGGTCAGCGTTGTATTCAAGATAATTCTGTCTCTGCATTTTTTTGCAACCTGCCATCTCCATCTAGAGTAGTACTTCTCAGAGAAGTGCATAGTGTGACATTTTAAAGGTCAAAAAGAAAGAACATGTGAAACAGGGAGATCATTCACTTCGCAAACATTTTTATCACGTTGGAGAATGCTGAGTACTGTTGCTTTTACCTACGTACAGATATAATCAAAAAGAGATTAAAATGAGCCAATAGTGCTGGTATTTCAGTTGGCACTTCTTTTGAACAAATGCTTTAAAAAAACTAGAGAAATGCTATACAAAGGTCCTCTGTTTGTGAATATTGTAAGTACACGTTTGTAGGTTGAAATGCTGAGTGGGGCACAGGTATAGTTATCTGTTACCCTTGACAAGGTCAGTCATTCGGTTTATTCCACTAAGTGCCATTCTTAAAAGTGCTTCAGTGCTGTCACAGAGTAAGTCCCTTTTCATTTAAAATCACAAATATCTGTCTCGTATTGTCTTTAAGACATTCTTCCTTGGGGGATACCTATTTTACATATATATTAATTTATCATTTAAATATATGCTTTGAATATGCTCATTATCTAAATCGACGTCAGTGGCATGACGTTCCTAGTTATGCACTGAGAATTCAAATGTAACGATGTGCTTCTGGTGAAAAATGCTAAAAGTCCTTCCCAACATGAGAACAGTACAATGTCCAGGTGACACATTTTCTCAACCTTTTAATACTACAGTCATTAGTGTCGATCTTTAGTGTTTGTATTTCATGACTAAAAAAGCTGGAAAGGGACCTGATTCACACGCATACATTTGAAAATCATACTCTTTTAGGGACCTCCCTTTGATTCTTTCGATTTTTATTGACTACATACCCCACTCCACGTGGGTTTAAAACTGACCCACAACAAACATTTATAACACTTTCCAGTTCAAAAGAAGATGACATTTTAATTGTAAAAAAGGTAGGAATATTCCCTACAAATTGCCTGTTTGTCAGGAGTTAATATCTGTATTGAAACATTTTGTTACATTTCATCTCCAAATTGCTAGCAAAACATGCCCATACATGCACACAAAATCTCAAATTCTTTGCAGTGAAGACGTTACCTGAAGCAGAACAATCCTGTTGTGAAGCCTGTGTGCCTGCTGCACTCTGGTGGCTAGTTTCCAGTGATGTATCACAGCTGCTTTCAAAGAATTCTCTTCTTTGGTTAGGCTCCATTCCAAAGATCTTTGTCTTTGCTGAACCTCTCTGAATTGTGCATGCCACTGTGCCAAAAATGAAGTCTTGCTGCGTGTCAGGTTGGTTTGAGTCACTTCATGCCAAATCTTTAACACTCTATAGAAGAGAAATTAACAAGTTATTTGATCAATGTGTCTCTTTTTGTAACATATGCACATATGTAACATATATTATTAGAAGTTTAATAAAAATTTGGCACTTTTCCATCTCATCCTCAGAACATTTTGTTCTTCTGGTGGTTAGCATTCAATCAAAGAAACTAATCATACCGGCAACAGATGTAATTAATAGATACGTGATAAATTCACTGCCCTCTACTGGTAGAGGAGACATTGTATAGTATTGCATACTATATCCACATAAAACCAGAGGGTTTCCTTCATGAATAAATAAGCCTCTTTATAAAACAGAAACTTTAACTTCATTTTCACATATATCTGACAGTTTAAAAGGAAAAGTGCCAGACTTGTTCTGTTTATCTCTTGCATTGACTTTGGGTGTAGACGCCTCTGCCTTTTACGGAGAGCTGGTATGCTGACACCCAGGATCTAAACCAACTGGCCAAACCACATCTCTGTGCCAGGCCAGAGAAGGTGTCAGCGTCTCCTGTTCCCCTGCCCTGCCCTCCTGGGTGAGCTGAAGCCACTTCCTGCCGACGATCCAAGCCTGCCTTTGCTTCTCCTGCTGGCAGGCCAGGGCTTGCCTCCAGCGCAGAAATGTGCGTAGAGACAGCCTTCCTCTGTAGTTAGTATCTGCATGATTGAGAAGCATGATCCGCCTCCAGTGAAGAGCAGCTCGCTCAACCAGACTGTGAATCCTATCGCGTCTCTGCTGGGAGTGAGCTTGTTTGTTGCCACAGTGCTCCTTCCACAGCACGAAAGCCATCCGCGTGTCTCTCTCAGCTTTGACAACCAGAAACATGTTTAGATCGTACCGCAGGTGTTCCTCGTGGACCAAAGCCATGCGCCATTGTTGTAAACATCTAAAACAATACATAGACACCAGTAAAAATAAAATTAAGCTGTTTAATTTGACTGTAGGGAAGAGCATCCCCCTCATTTCATGTTTAGGGTTAGGCCCCACTACTTATTTCTATTACTCCATCATTGTCTTGAAAGTTATCTGCACAAAAAAACAACACACCTCTTCTTTACAGATCGTTGGTAGCAGATCTTGGCATTCTGCAGGTTCTCTGACCTCTGTGCCCAGATTAACAGTGCTCTCTTCTTCAGAGTCCTCTGCATATTGTGCAAAAATGCGGACAGAAGGTTTCGGATTTGGCACTTATCTGTTCAAAACATACAACAAAAAAGGCACTATTACACACATTTTAAATGCTGGCTGGGTTCATTGGTATATCTGAATTATTCATGTGAGCCTGTGTGTCCTAAACTTCTGGGATTGGCTCTGGGTTGCTGTTACCTTTACTATACTTTACTTTGCAGTAATGGATGGATGCACATATTTTATCTGCCTCATATAACTGAGCCTGTAAAAGTAATGTTTTAAAGTAGATTTACTTGTACAATCAGGGCTTCACTGTTGTAAAGCTAGTTTGAAAATACTTTTATGAGTCTGTAAGGATGAAAAGCCTGTTTTTTCTGGCTTCTGTGTGACCAGTACTTCACTGAAACAGTTGTAATTTTACTCACAGCAGATGAGATAACTTGACCAATGTTTCTATAGGTGTAAAAATGATTATCTTTAATGTAATGTTTATGCTATTTGATTTACATCATACATTAGCATTACAATCTGCATAGTAGAGACATTGAATTAACAACAAATTCCATACTTTCAGTGATTGTATACAACACCACTGATGTGCTGTAGACACGCTGGTGTGATTCTTAGAATTCCCTCTTGTGATTATGATTGATCACATCTAAATGATAAAGGGGGAAAAGGTCTTTGTATAAGAAAGAAATATTTAGGCCCATCTAGCCCATTTGGCAGTGAGTAGCTAATTGATCCAATGATCTTTTCCAGCCATTTCTTAGAAAAAAGCCAGGGTATCGACTTGGGTAACATAGATGGGTAGCTTGTTCCATATTCCCACAGTCCTTTGTGTAAAGAAATGTCTCCCGTTCTCAGTTAAAAAACGTTCCCACTTTTGTCTGCTGGTTTGTGTTTCACTGTTCGCTCAGAAGAGATCCAATGGGTTGACTCTGTCAATGCCTTTGAGGATTGTAAACACTTGTATCAGTTCCCTTCTTGATCTTCTCCTTTCAAGAACAAGAACACTTGTGAGACCGCGGCGCACACAATAAGAGCATTCACGGCGAGACTCACGGTGTGTAAGTGAATGCCAGTGGAGCAGAGTCTGCCTGATGCGCCGCACACATCTGTCAGCAATCCTCTTCTCTGCTTCCAGGTGCTGTGCCAGGCAGACTCTCCACCTAGCGAAGTGGAGGCGACAGCAGCGCAGCCTGCTTATTTGTGCTACCAGAGCCCTCCTCTCCCTGTCCCGCTGCACCCAGCTCTCCCAGGCAACAAACACTCTGCCACACAGGGGATCATACTTCACAATATTGAGGGGAGGCGAAGCACAGCGAGAGGGGAAATCATATCCTACTTTCATTAAGACCTCAAAGCTAGTCTAGGGCCGGCCATCCCAGATTAAACCAAAATGGCACACTGGCAGCTCATGAAAATGTGCATTTATTACCTTTCTCCTGACAATTGAGTTACTTTCAGTGCAACTTCAAGAAATGCAACTGGTGTTAATCTTTGTTTCAGGAGAAAATGTTGTTTTTATATGTTAAAGTAAAACAAGACGCACGTGTGGTCAAAAAGAGTGTCGGCAAGAATGCAAATGTGTATGGCTGTTGCTTTTCTAATATTTTTGTCTTTACCATTTAAACACATCTACATTTCAATCAGTGATATATTACAACATCTTACAGGTACATGGGGGAAAAAAGGAACACATTATACGTATTGTTAATTCACATCAATGTAATAGTGAAACATAAGGAAAGAACCTAATGAGATTAGACTCAATGAGAGTTAGGGTTACATGACTTTCTTTCTGAGTAATACGGTGCAGAGCTCATCTCCTATTGTCAGGGGTACCTGGGAATGACCCCTGACATTGATCATTTAAAGAAGTCAAGCTAACTGACCCTGAATATATTTGGGAAGATAGCTGAAACACCACACAGAATGGAGCCAAAGGCCAGAACTGAAGCCAAAGAACTGTGTGGCAACAGTGCTAGCAATCATATCACCATGCTGTCCACAACTGGACTGTAAAATGAAAAGAAATGGTAGAAAGATATAAAATTTGAAAATGGGCACCGTGCTCCAGGTTGGTGTGACATTAGCAATTTACTTTTCAAGGGTGAATGCAAGTATTTACCTTGTTAAGAGAGCATGTCTATAGTAGACTAACACTCTGCAGGACTGCCGTACATGTGCAGCCCACAGAGTGAAGCTCTGATGCACCCTCTGTCTTTCCACTGTCTTCTGAAACCACAGAGCTTTTCTCTCCTGCTGGACAAGATCCTCAGCATCACCATTGATGACCTTCAGTTTCCTCTTAATCAGAAAAAAAGCACACAAAGACTGGTTTGGTTGTGTGGAAAGGAACACATTACAAACATTTCTACAGTATTTTTCAAATGACAAATATTACAACCTTGTCAACATGGTACACTGACACTTGTCAGTGTCAGTAGATAACAAAAAGAAATGATGGCTGGTATATAACTATTTCATTCCTAGCAATTGATCCAAATACAAACATACAAAGAACTTCGTAGAAACACCTTTCCATATTTGGATAATGCCATTTCTCTTTCACTACCTTTCTCTGCCAACTTGTGAAGCTCAGAGTTAAAAGGTGTGATTTGTGAAACTGAACTGCTTTCTTCTGTAGAAGACATTTTCTCCTCTGTTGAAACACCAATCTCTTCCAAAGGTCCAGACTTCTGCTCAGTAGCCCCGTCTCCTGAAAAGATGAATGGATATGCTAAAAATCAAATGTAGTCATGGTGATCATTCCTTTAATATATTACTGGGTTAAAATAAACGGAATAACAAAAAGTTGTATCATGTTGTGACTGAGTACAACTAACACACAACAATATTGAATACCTAATCTGTTCCTAGAATAAACAGAACTGAAACTGAAAGAAAAAAAAATTGTACCCAGCAGTTTTTAGCATTGATCTGTTTTACTGTCTCACACTTCCAGGTATCAAAAACACTGCTCTTTACCGACTGGCTCCTGTAACCTTTAAAGTAGCCAGTCAGAATATTTATTTCTCTGCGCATTGAAACGTAAAGCCTCCACTGAAGGAAGGCCATGCTGACGGACTGGTGCATGATTCTGTTGACTGCAAAGCGAACCAAAGCCTGCAAAGAGGGAAACATTGAATTACAAAGCACAGATTATCATCAAATTGAAATCCCTAAACTCTTACTGATACACTGCATACAGTGGCAATACTGTCATTTAAAAATACTGAATAATGTCCATTAGAAATAAAGTTCTCATTTTTGCAGCAATCAAAAGCTACATACTGTATGTATGTGGCTCTAGCTTTTATATTAAATGTTTGATTAAATATTGACTATAATGAAGACTGCAAAGGAACGCAATTAAAACATTCAGAATCGCGAAAGCCGCTGATCACACCAGTCCAATAGACTTCTTAATCAAAATACAGAGCTGCTAACTAAGGGGAAAACTGAGAACAAGAGGCACTTTCTTACACAAACCTGTGGGGTCTGGAACAAGATAGTCCGCCATGCTGTGGAAGTTAAAATCTTGTCTTCTTTAAAGAAATACTGTAGATCTTTAGATCAATTACTACCAACATCAAAAGCAAGATGTGCCTAATGGGCCCAAACCTTTCTTATATTCTTCTGAGATATTGCCGATAATAAGAACAAATCTCCCATTCTGACTTATTCGCCTCCAATGCAAATTCTACAGTATGTTTCCAGCACCACATTTTCTTCATTGCTCAGAGAGAAGAATATTTCTGAAAAGTTAATGTTTTGTCCAGGTATTTTCCAATTGTGATAAGTTAAAGTACATTACTGGGAACCACAGTCTTTTCTTCTAGTTCTCTAAGGTTATACTCCATTGAAAATTGTATCTCCTTTCCTCCCAACTCCTAACTTGTATCTCCTAACTTCAAGGAACTCAGTTGTGATAATGACCCTTAATTTGGCAGATCCTAGCAGACGTATTATGGTGAATTATCCAGAAATAATGACACAGCCAAGATAAAAGACATAAATACCTTTAATCTTTTAGGCCCTTTGAGCATCACTGTACTGTGCTCCCAATGGGGAAGTGTACAGATGTCTACAGTTTGGTCCAAATTGTCTGTAGTTGTCATTCTGTGAAGGCAGTGATCATCAGAACAAAACAGCACAGTACACACTTCAGACAGCTTTCTGTGAACAGTTGAACAGCCAGGTACAGCACTCCGGGAGCACAGCGTGTAACCTCATTATGTGCAGACTTGCTCTATTAAGGGACAATTATGTTTTAAATGATTGTAATATGACAAGAAAAGTCTGTGATGTTTGACACCAGGTGTACTTAATCAGTATGTCAGACAGCACACCAAGGCCAAAATGTCAATATTTGTAGCTGTGACATTTATTGGATTTCAAAGTAAGCCCAATCCCACTCTGCTTGTCAATCAACTGAACCAGTTCTCACTTGGCAGTCTAAATTAGTACCATAGAACCCACTTATGTGGGCTGAGATGTAGACAGATGATAAGTATAGGTGATTGTGGACTTGTGAGCTTCCTTCTGAACCAGAATTTCCAAACCTACTGTATGTCTGAGTATACTGGTAGGGAAGACCATGTTGTTGGAGATGCGGTCCTTTGAATGAGACATTAAACTGTGGTCCTGACTCCTTGCTTATTAAAGATCCCATGGTGCAATCTGTAAGATCAATGTATTTTCTAAATTCCACAATGAGCTGGTACAATATGGCCACTTGATGTGGTGGCTGCTGGTGCATAAAGTCTGCCTTGTGTCACCTAGTGCTATATAATGCAAGGAATTATTGTTATAGCAGAGAAACGGGAGGTGCTAGTGAAGACTGACCCTGGTTTTAGCCTGCACGGTGATGAGGAGGTCTGTAAAGGGAGCTCTTGCTCGTGGGCACCCTTTGACCAGTCATTCAGCTCGGTCTTCTCACTCTTCATGTGTTCTACTGACATTAAACTGATGTGCAGACCTCTGTGCCCCTTTCTCCCCACAATGTCCAGGATGACCTTCAGTGTTGGAAATGAAAAGGAACGTTGCGTTTCCATTAAACCTCTCCTTGGCTGAAATGTACTCCTCAACAACTTCATCGGTCTCATCAAATCACACCATAACAATAAAATAAGAAGCATTTTTTAATTTCCTATACAGTTTCATACTTTGTTTGGTCATTCGTGTCCTAAACTATCCATCTCGTACACAATAAAAGTTATTGTAATTGTAAGTAAAAAGTAAACCAGTACTTGCCAAAGTGTTCATCATTAAGAGTGGGCCATTAGCTGAGCTCACACCCCAGCAACAGTGTGTACCTGCTGAAAGGAGCTGCAGGCTGTGTGCAGTGGAAATGAGGCAGGGGGAGAGTCCTCTGGGAGTGGACCTGGCGCCTGGAACTCCCGCAGCTCCACTGCAGAACTGAGCCTCCGCACTCCGTCATTCACAGCATGCTCTGCCACCCTGTGCAAGTGCTTGACTACATCTCTTAATCTCCTTTTCTCCACAGCTTCAGAAAATACTCTAAAAAACAAAAGTAACAAAAGAGTTTAGAAGAGTTATTCCATAGCAGGAGAGACTTGGTGTGAAAAATAGCATCCATTGTTGTATTTCTGAATGATTATTGCATACAGTGGAATTCCACTGTATAAAGAGGCAGATTTTTCAATGCATAGCGCAGATGCAGATTTGTTGTCCAAGGCCTACTACCTGGCCATCTGCAGTTTGTATTGCTCCTCTTTCCACTTCTGAAAGGCCCCCTGGAGTACCAAAGCTGCACACAGCTCATCAGCTCTGTGGTGACGATCCATCATTGCCGAAAAGGCATTGACTTGCTTCATTTGAAACCCTTAAGAAAATAACAAAAGCTTCACTAATCCTGACACCCATATCGACACTTACAATGAGAGCTTCGTACAATGCCCACACACATTTTAATGAAGTGATTATGTCAACAAAGCTGATAAACTTTTAGCTAAGTGGCATTTATTAACCAGTAGGTGGTGCTCTGCCCTCTGGACTGACATCCAAATCAATGCCCCATTATACTGAACAGGGACATTGCCCTGTAGGGGTTGGTGTCTTTTGGATGAAACTTTAAACTGTGGTGCTGATCATTTAAGATCCTGTGAGATCCTCGTAAGAGTATTAACCACAACTTGGATAGAATTACATTTACATAATAATAATAGTACATTTAAGGTAAATTATCCTATATCTGAATCGTAAGAAAGCTGCCAAGGAACTAACATCTAAAGGTAAAATGAAATTGCTGCAAAATATGCTTCTTGTTACAGCTCTAAGAAAAAGAAATAGCTATAACTTCAAGGTTACACAGTTCCTATAAAGAAAACTAACTTTGAGACATAACTTTCAGAATAAAAAGGACTACCAATTAAATATCTGATGAACACTCTGGAGTATCCTGGCACCCTGATCTGGTCTCAGGGGTTTTGCTGTTTCAAGGGGAAAAGAAAGAGAACCTTTCCATTTATCTTTTGCTTGCCGCTGCCTTTCTTCAACTAAGTGGATGACAAACGTCTTCTGTAGACAGAACAGTGCCACGTCTTGCTTCCAGCGCTGGAAACACAGCTTCACCGTGTGCCTCTGAAGTTTAGCCCAGTAATAAACGGAGATTGATTTCTGATGAACAAGTTTTCTCCAAGCCTCCAAGCAACTGCAAGGAACCAGGAACACCAATATGCTTAAGTAAGCTTGAAGGAAAGAATTAAGGACCCTTAATGATTTTATAAAACTTATCTCCACTTTAGCTTTTAAAAGCCAATATTATTGCTTTAATAACTATATAGATTTAGAAAAATACATCCAACATTTATATTACATTATATTAGGTAAGCTTTTATTTTTATTGTAGTGGTTGTTTTTAAATGCAGTACTGTGAAACATTTCCAACATTATGTTTAAGTTTCATTTAAAATTTATCCCATCTATAATTTTTGTTTTGCAGATCATTGATCAACATAAAACATTCAGCAGGAGTCACACTGGAGCTAAGCTATTAGTATGGCTAATCGAAATGTCCATGCATATTGAAATTACAAGTTAATTTTGTTTGACTTTTCAATAGACAAGTATTGATTTCTGAGACAGTAAGGAAGCTCTCAGTTTATATGCCCAGAATTACCCATTAAGCACCGGACTTCCTCAAAGGCAAACAGCATTGGGACACAGAATGAGGCTGCAGAGATTAATTGTGAAATTAAGCTTGCAAACACACCACAGCAATTGTCTTTTTTGTGCTTTCTCACAGAACAGCTGCGCTCCTCTTCTTTGTAAACTGAACCTGTGCCAGGAGGCAAATGCAGCCTTCAGCTTTCTCTCATCCAGCAGATGGCGCACAATCATCACGCTGCTTCTCTCCAAATCGACAGAGGCCTTGAGTTCATGCCAAGTCCTGAAGGCAACTAAAAAGGCAGTTACATTTATCACATTTAACAGTTGACTGGACTTGGGTCTTTTATTATCCCTTAAAAAAGCAAATTAGGAGCTTGACAGCAGCATGACTGAAGCCCAGAACATACCTATAATTTAGCACATAAGAGGAACAATTTTGCATAACAACTTTTTTTACAGTGATACTAAGGCTTTCTCCTTGTATGGATCACATATCACCCATGCTGGCTCGACTCCACCTACTTGCTTGTCTCCTTCTGTAAAGCACCTGTGTTGCTCTAGAGCACAGGCCCTCAAGCTTCTTCTTATGTGCAGCCTGTCGCCAACGCTGAGCTGCCATCCTGAAGAACCATGAAATAAAGGACAGGGAATGGAAAAACACAGCTGAAGATCATCGTTATGAAGCTGTCAGATTCCTCTTTTCACTTGTCCTTCACTGAAGCAGGAAGATGCAATCTATGCAAAAATGTATGTGACAGGGCATTGTGCATAATGAGTTCTATTTCATAATCCGTCACATTTCCCTGTCACATATATATACATCAAGTGTTGTAGAACATAAGGATATGTCATTAATTGGAAATGTAAGTTTAAAGATTGTAAGACAACAGTGTTTGCAACTTTCACTCTCACACGTTAATAGTTTGAGCCATAAGTTTTGTGTGTTTGCACCAAACTAGTTTATAACAAAGGTCATGTCTGTGAACTAATTTCCTGTAAAATGTGCACAGTACTTTAACCTTTAAAGGCTTGTAGGGACTAGAACATCAGTAGAAAGCATGTGAACTCTGAATCACAGTTTCTGAATCAAAGTAATGTCAAAAGACATTAGATTGCAGATTTGAGGTTGACGCTGGCTAAAATTGATTTCCCAAAAAGCCGGATGTAAATTGTGTGCCACAAAATAATAATAATTATTTAATTATTAAAGAATCATTGTGTGCCATTAATCATTGCTGCTCAGCCAGATTCAAGGAGAACACACAATTCAACATGTGTGCACAGTGACCCGTCAAGACTTCTGAGCCCAATGGTCTGTATTATTGTACAACAATGAAAATTTAAGTTGAAAAACAATAAAAATGTATTAGTATTTTTTTAATCAAAGGACACCTGTCTACAGTGTCCTGTCCTTACTTTCTTCTGCAAAAAGAAAAATTCAGGCCACACGGGGTTAAATGTTACAGACCTGACTATTTCTTGTATTTTCTCCTGTTCACTTTGATAGACTCCTAGTCTGGATCTCCAATGATGAAAGCTTTGTTTCAGAAGGCAAGATCTCTGAAACTGGGAGGTCAGAAAACCTTTCTGCTGTCTCTCACACTTAATATATTGCACCTGCATACTCCAAGCTTTGAACACAGCAGATACTGTATGGTCCCTGTGGAGATAAGAATGATACTATAATGGAAAGTAAAATGTACAGATAGTATTTTTATTCTGAAAGATAGAGAAAGAAATCTAAAGAATTATAAGATGGCTAAAGTTTTTGCTAACTGCACAGGATTTTGTGCAATTTTACATTTTTTTTTGCTCTGGGACTTGATCTGAAGGTTAAAGTGTTCTGAGCAACATGGTTATTTAGTAAGGACCACTCATTCTCTAATTGCAACTTCTCATGCACATAATCTATGCGCCAGACTCCTTTTTTAGTTTTTAAAAACACTCCTATCATTCCAGTATACCCTTTCTGAAAAAATATTCTGTATTATTCTCTACTCTGTAATAAAGCACAGAGCACATAAACATGAATTTTTAATATGGGCTATTAAAAGATCATTTAAGTTGGATTTACTGTATTAAGCACACAAATTACCTAAAACATTTTTTGGCAAGCCGTGTTTTGTACACAGCTGTGCTCCAGGCCATAAAGACCTTCTTCTTCAGAGTGTGTTCCATACAAAAGAAGGCCTGCTCCTGTTGTCTTCTTGCATTCTTCTTTATCTTGAGCTGTCTCCAGATGGCCCAGTGCTTGCACAGCAGTGTCAAGCTATCAAGGAAGAGACAATAAATAAACCTTGCATAATGCCTCCTGCCACAGACTGGAAAGAATGGTAACATAAAAACTTAACACTGTTTTCGCTTCTAAAAGTGAAGGACTGTTACAAATCACACCAATGTAACTTGTGGAAAGTCCCAGCTTAAACAGTTTTAAGACTTTCACGTACCGGTACATAATGTATGTAATATAGGGTGAAGGCTTAGAAAGCTGAAGCCATGCATTCTATACTGTTCCTAGCTGTGGTTGTGGAGGCACAGAATTAAAAGAAGATCCTCATTACAATTAAGCAGACTTGGTTTTGTTAGCTTCAGTATGAGTAATCTGTAACACACATCTTACATTTCACAATGGAGCATGTTACTGCAGGAGTCTTATCAAGACCATTTCAGTATTTGAACCCACCACATGGCAGCATCAAGTCCAAAGCCCAAACCGGTAGACCAGACTCAGTAACATGGGTACTGCTTCACAGAATGACAATGCTAACCCACATATATCTTTTCAATGAAATCAGGCTAGTGATTGGATTAGTGTTAGAAGATCTCTATTTGAAGGTGTTCTATATTTTCTATGTCTATTTTACAATGGCATTTGTCCCTTAAAAATGCAATTAGCTTTTACCGCATCCTCACTAAATCCCTATTTAGCAATACATATTCATTGCCCTGTGAGTACAAGCATTATTTGTGATTATTAAACACTAAATGTGTCTGTCAGAGAGTATATTGTTGAAATGTTTAATTCAATAACAAGCAATAATAATAGGGTGAGCATACACATATGTCACTCAAACTGAGATCAGCTTCACCTGTAAACTCTGCATGAGAGATTGTTGAGCCAAAACATTCAAGCAGCTGTGTTGTGAAGTGAGCAGCATCGCACCTTGTTCTGTAATTAGTAGAGTTGTGGTGTGTATGTAGAAATGTGAACAATAACCAATCCAAGGCAGGTCTAAAGGGATGTCATGTAATAAAAATAAACTCAGAAAATGTGAAACACTATTAATACATGAACATTAGCACTCCATTTGTAGTGTAGAATCAAATATCCTAGTAAAGTTCCAAACCATAAGTCCCACTTAAGATGGAACTTTTTACTTGCACCGGGGTTCAGCAGGTATTTAAAAGGTAGAAACAACCCCAATGCCTTGACATTTTAATTAATCAAAACAAGCAGAACTGAAAACAATTTAAAATAAGGTACTGCACTGCACTTTGCTTGAGAACTGACACTGAGCTCATTTAAAGTTGTCGAAACACATACTTATAGTGTATCTCAGCAGCCCTGGGTATGTGCAGGCATGTGATGTTCCTCCTCCGTGGGCAATAAGCAGATCTTAAAATGAGCTCATTACTGGGTCGAACAAGGCGTCTTCTTAAAGCCTCCACGTTCAAATCAATGTCAGGAGTGGTCTTTTTGAGAAAAATGTGTCTGCGTGCAAAAGCTTCTTTCCACTACAAAAGAAAAAAAAGGTTCTGTTAGATATAACAATTTTATAAATCAGAAGCATGACCTGCAATAACAAAATACAAATACAATAGTTTCTAAGCTATTTTGTTTTAATGATGTTAATTTGTTTTAAGCTGTATATTACAAACTACACTTGTGTGAGAAAGCCATTGCTGCAGCTGAAGCAGTAGCTAGTTCCAACTTCTTGTCCAATGAATTACACCTGAGAGGAAATGACATATTATTGTGATTTATTGCACATTGGCCTCCAGGCAAGAAACTTTTCCAATAAGTGCAAAAAGAATCTGCAGGGCAAAAATGGAACAAAGCACCTTTTAACAAGATTTTTGGCATTCTTTTTTCTTAAAGTTCAGTAATAAAGGCTGGATTCTCTCATTTCATGTTGCTTTTCTTACTGGGATATAGTTTCAGAACACCGCACTGCCACACAATAGCTGTAATGTATGCTTCACTTCTTTAAGAGATAATGGTATAGAACTAGCACTGCATACTGACTGGTTGGCAATTCCGAAAATACATTTTTCATACTTTGAGATTCTGACATAATAACTCCCCGTAAAAGCTATCATATAGACCAATAGTAAACCACTGTATTTTATTGCACATATCATTGGCCTCCTATTTGATTAAACCGAGAATGCACTGTCACAGAATTCTGAGATAGGTAAAAACAATTCTCCTGGAAGAACAAGACATTATCACTGTTCCAGCAGCTCTTGTTCTAATCAAAATAATCAGACATTAACCACTTTTCCCACACTGATATCACGGCTCCCTTTGTGGACCATAATTCAAGGTGTACACCAGTTACTTCATTTTGTCAATCTGAAAGCAAGCAGTGCCATGCTACTCATGTTTGTCCAAGGGTTAAAACAGGAAGCAGAAACCTTCTGTTACTCACATGATTAAAGCACTGAGATAACATCCCAGCTCTCTTTCTTTTTGAAACGTTGTCATACTGCAAGTGCGGTACTTGGACAGCCCCTGCCAGCCCCTGCCAATGCAGCAGCTGTTTCTTGTGTTCAAGCCTTGCTGTAGCGTTCTGTCTCACACGTTGCACCCACGTCTCAAAACACTTGGCTAGAAGCTGGTGTCTGTACAGTGACAAGAATCCTCTAGGTGAGAGGAAATATTTGACCACTTTACTCAATGGTAAAAGGAGCACTTCCATTGACTTCTTTTTTAAACTGTTACATCCTTAAGCACAGATTTAAAGTTTGAGTCAAACATGATGTCCATCAGTAACATCCATCAGCTACTAAATAAGAAATGAAAATAATGGCAGTTAAGAAATTTAAACATTTTCATTTAATCAAAACTAATTTCACTTGTTGCTTTCAATCTGATATTTATTGTAGTCAGTTAGTCAAAAGAGACAAAGGATCCTGCTTTACCTTCCTTTTGCTGCCACAACAGGGCCACAGCTATATATCTTCACTGGATCAGAAGGCTGCTGGAAAATAGAACCAAGTTGTCAACATACCCTGCTAAGAAATATCATGTTACGCTCAACAATGGTGCCCTCTGACCTCCCGAACAAAACATCTACCTACCTTAGATAACTTGCTCCTATGACTTGCTGACAGGGGTTTTATTTCTGCAACACCTACACTCCTCTTGTAGTGCTTGGTTCCACCTCTGCTAGAACAAATGCTTTCTTTAAATCCATGCACGGGAAGAAATTGTGGAAACGAAGACGGTTGTTCCTCTTCAGTAGAACACATATCAGCTACATTAACCCGACATTTGATTCTTTTATGTTTAGTGTGACTATTTTCTGTTGTAAAATCACAATTTCCAATACCCTGCAGGCAGCCTAACTGTTGATGATTTCTCTTTATACCTACTACCTTTGTGTCAGACTCACCAGTCACCTCCTGTATTAAGTTATAGCTTTCTTTAATTAGGTGAAGACTGTCCATCAGCGAATCACATTTGGAGACCTCAGTGTTGTCTGTTATGCTGTGCGCCCAAAATGAATATTTTTCCATCTCCACATTTATACATGAACTTGAATCAGCGGTATCGAAAGTGCTCTGAAGTTGTATGGGATCTAAAGAAACCAGTTCCTTTCCTGTACTCTTAAAATGACTGAAGCCTTGACAGACAGATGATGGATACCTTACTTCTTTTAGACCAAGGTTTTCAGCCGAGGTGAGCTCTCTTCTAAGCCCTGAACACAGAACTTTTGTGCCTCCTTTCTGACTTTTTGAGCTCTCCACTGCCACAGGTAGTGATTCTGCAATGGTAGCATGTGGGCAACTGGACAGCTCTGCAGAATCATCACCACAAAAATGTGAAGACATCTTGATATTCTCTGGGTAAAAGTGATGGCTTTCATGGACTTTCTTGTTTATGGATATAGTTTTATCTGACTTGGAAGCCAGTTTGCATGTGAAACAACTTCTTCCTCTTTGAACAAAATAACATGATATATTTTTTGGTGTGTTATGAAGTCCTTTATTCTCGGTTCCATCACCAGAATCACTAGAAGAAGAAAAAGCTGTACAGGAACTAGGTGGCTGTCGTTCTGCTGATTCAGATGCTAGCAAATCTTCACTTTTCCTAAGGTCCAGCATTGACATCTTCATGCTTGCAGAAGTCCAAGATGAATCAAGGACATTTTGAAATGTGGAAAAATGTTCAGATGCCAGTTTCTGACAAGCAGGACTGTAATCATTTAAATTACAAGGGTTCTCTGTTCCTCTATTAAAACATGGCTCTTCCTGACTTGAAAGCTCAGAACACTCTGGATTAAAAATGACATCACTAGTTAAAACAGAAGGCTTTTCATGAGCTTTGCAGATTTGAACATTGCTTTGAACCAGCATCTTATTTGCACGAAAAGCAGATTCTGTCACCAAATGCTGCAGGCTCATATCTTTCTGTTTCTCAGGCTTGAATGCATAATGCAGATCATCTTTGGTAACTGAGCTGTAAGTATTACTGCAGGCGGATGCATAGCCTTTGCAACTGAGATCACTGTTATCTCTGCTAAACCGAATTGGTTTCATACTGTGCACCAGGTCCTGATGAGTTGCTTTTCCAGGTCGGCTGCTTTTCATCATGTAATGGCTGTGAGTTGCTGGCCATTCCTCTTCATTGTTAAGATTCCTCTGTTTCAGGATCAAGTGCTTGCCAGTGCTCCCAGAGCTCAATCTACCTGCAGAACGGAGCAGGTTTGACTGCTGGTCTTGACAGGACATTGAAAGAACTCCCAATACCTCATTACCATCATCAGCAAGAAGGCCCAAGTTCCTCTGCACATTGAAGTTTCCTTGTGTTCTTCTTATCTGAGTCTTTGAAGGTTTCCCAGATGGTTTCTTCTGGGGATACTTTTCCATTTTGTGAAGGTGCTACAACACAGTCCCTGTCAGCAGAAATTTCTTTGTCGGTTCTGTACAATCTGTCAGACACCTATAATGAACAGCAAACTGTTAGTTATACCATATGCTATAGGAAATAGCACAATTCGTTTTCATCACATCAAGCTTGAAGTATGTCAAATTTACTACTGCTGCGCTGTAATTCAATTCAATCTGTGGCAGGAAAAACTTAGTAATATAAAATGTTTTATAAAAGAACTACAAAAATATATCTACAATATAACTACAATAATATATATCATAAACAGAAGTGTTACTTACAGTAATTGCTTTCTTAATCAATTGTTAATGTACCAAACATTCCATTTTCATTTATTTAAGTTATATATAAATTCGAGTGAATCAGGTTGAGCCGTCTTCAGACTTCCTTGAATTCAAACGTTTACACTGTTCAATACAACGTGTTTAGTGCAGTATGTGGGCAGTAATTACGCGTGATAAAAAACACACCTTTTTCACGAAAACAAAGGAAAGCGCTACAGAGTGAAAAATCCCAACGTCTAAAAGGAATCAAACGCTTTAAATTTTAACGCTACTCACCCTAAAACTGCTGCATGTTTTCGCACTTATTCAAAACCACAATAAGGTTTGACCTGTTTGCACTAGACGTCCCAATTGTATATCTCCCCATTGTTTTAAACCCGCTACTACAATATGTCCCCTACTGCGCACAGAGCTGGATTAGCGCAGCAACAGATTAGTGACGCTATGGCGTAAACAAATCGCCTCTCCGCCTCTGCATTGAGGGACGTACAACTTCCAATTCGAATAAGAAAAAAGAAAAAATCCACTTTATTTACATTTCAATTGATAAAATCTGTGTATCCCGAATTTTTATCACCTACACTCGCTGACTTGTATGTATTAAAACAAACAAGGGCAGAGGAGCATTTAAGAGTCTTATTCTCCCAAATGACTCAAATGAAAATACTTAATTTTGCCTCAAAGGGAGACAATTTAAACGGCGAACAGTGCAACATCAAAATAACACTGGTAAAACAAAATATGAACATTTAACCATATGAAAATGTACATAACACTTCGTATTAAGCCTATCTCATTTGCAACACAAACAAAACCTGTTAGCTTTTAGAATCAAGAGTTCAACCTTTTTAGCTGCAAAGACTGGTGAAACGAAAATGTGTTATTTCTTGAACGACAAATAAACATTAGAAGACTAAAACGTAGTTTTTTCAAACTGAATGTGGATAACATTCCTGAACAATATCCGTCTTCCTGGAAGAATAAGGACTTTTCACCTTTAATGAGTAGATGGTTAGTCTGTTACAGTATTTCTTTTCAAACCTGGCGCGGCTCCGATGACGAACCGCTGGCACAGGTGTTATAGCTGCGCATGCGTTCGCCTCATGACTGACGCATTTACCCGGCCCGGATTAAAAATTCGGGGTTAATTTAAATTTGGGTATACTGACTTTTTCAATCTCAACGTCGATCTGTTTGTCTTTAATATAGGGGGTTAGTAATTTCACCTGAACGCAAATGACTTGCTCTCTTAAAAAAAAACACCTAAAGTTAGGCCTTTTCTATTAAAGGCAGGGCAAGCACAGCTTGAATTCAGAATTCCGTGAAAAAAATCTATTCAATAAGAAGTAGGGAAACTTAAACAGATAAACCATTTAAAAAGTATATAGACATCATATTATGATCAATGCACTAGTAGCTTTCTTCTTTTAGACAATTAAAAGCATGCAGCAAATCAAAATCAAAATGATAGAACAAAGCCATGGGTGACTGTTTTTATTTCTGTAACACGGACTGATACAATCCAGTTCTACACGATCCTCATTAAATTATCAAGCGAAATAAAATCATACACCTCCAAGGTTAATTAATATTTTCATCAGAAAATAACAGTACTACCCTGTATTTTAAATGTTACAATGAGATACTATCACTGACAAATACATACACATTATAAAGTACACGCAGTGTCTGGACTAGATTGAAACTGCTGCTCTGAGGCTTGTACATGTATTGCCTTAAGGGACTCAATAGCAGAGGAAACCATAGAATGAAAGATCGAGGCTCTGTGTTGAAGGTAGTAAAACAACATCTTTGCTCTTCTTCTATTTGTAGTTTCGCAGATAGACCAGCCTGTGTGGCTGGAATTTCTCACGGCACAAGGGGCACTCTGCCTGTAAAAAGAAGAATGAAAATATGTTTTTTAGAAGAAAAAAACAAAACAAAATAAATGCTTAGAATTTTCCCATAAAATACAAATTGGGAGAGATGAGGTGGCCACCGCCCTTCTGCAACCCTGAAGCAGGCTCCTCACGGTGCTGCTTCACCTTGGTATTGCACCACTCGGTGATGCACTCCCAGCAGAACAGGTGGCCGCAGGGGGTCGCGGTCGAGTGTCGCCGGTTCTCCAGGCACAAGATGCACAGGGAGCAGCGCGTTGCCGTAGTTTCCACAGACTGCGAACTAAAAAGAAAAAATGAGACTAACTGCCACCCATTTGGCTAGCACATCTCTCCAACCTGCAACATGCTTTCCAGAATCCACTAAACAAATTTCAAACCCACTTTCAATGAGAAACCTTCCAGCCTCCTCGACTTTCTCCTACCAACAGTGTCCTCACTGCATTTAAAACCTAAAACCGCAGGTATGTCTTTAGCCAAAGGGCTATGGGAATCTGGAACAAGCACCACAGCCACACTGCCAAAGCCAATGTCTTTCAAGATCCGGCTGGATAAGATCCTTGGTTCGGTTCAAGGGGAAGGATAGTCCCAATTTCTCAGAGCAGTAATTAAATCTCCGTCACAAAATAAATGCATGGACGCTTTAGAAAAAAACGTACAAATTTGGAATTAAGCACAAATTCATGAACTTTCTGAAAGTACTGTAAGACGCCATGTTGACACAAACTCGCATTTGAGTTCCCACAAACCGTGACGGGATGTGGTTCTTCCTGCTCACTAGTCTCCGTAATGAACAGTGTAACGTGATGGACGAGGGAATAAGTACAGGTTGTGCAGCAGACATTTCACCACAGAAATGTTCCAACGTAATTTGCGTGCAGAATTAACAAGTAGTATTTGTCGGAAAAATCCTTCTCAAAACTGAAAGCAGTATTTCTACTGGACTAAAAGAGATGTATTCACGAGCCTGCTGGTTAACAATGTCATAGGTCTGCACGCGTCACCAGAAGCTATGTTGCCACATTCTGAATCACAGGACATGATGCTGCACATATCTGGAAATTTAGTCTATTTTGTAAATGTAAACTGGAGGTTTTACGAGTTACTGTGGACATTTTATTTTACTGCGGTTTGAAATGCACTGATCAATGCTGGTTAGATGGGCTACAGGGCCTCTTCCTGTTTGTAACCGTTATGAGCTTGAATTACCAAGACCATCACTCTTGGAAATGAAATACCTGGAGGAGGGGAGGTTTCGATGAAGTCTCCACTCCTGCCTGGCTCTCTGTCTCTGGCGGAAGTTGTTGAGCTGCAGGGCCAGAGTCAAAGCCAGCTGTAGCAGCGAGACAGCGCCCAGCAGTCTGTAACTGTTCCAGATGGCACGGTCACCTCCTGGCTGACCATGCACACGCAGCTGAAAAGCAAGCCGGAGGAGAACACTGAACACAAAAAAAAGTTTTTGAAAAAAAAGTGATAACGCTTATTTTCATCGAATTACATTTTCCATTAAAAAACTCCAAAACCCTCTGTGATAGGTCAGCCAGATTTTCTTTTATATGCCTTATATAAAACCAGAAGAAAAGAAACAACGTGTGGAGTGACAGAAGAAGGCTCCACAGCCGAAACATTGTGTTTCTTTTCTTCTCTTTTCAGCATGGAATAAACCTTTACTTGTTCCTTTGCAGCCTGCGCAGGCTGAAGCAGCTCCCTACTTATAGAAAAATAGGCCTATTTTGCAAAAAGGAGGGAAACAAGATGTCTAAAATGGCACTTGATTGCTCTTTGATCAACTTACGTAGCGGATGCCCACTGCCCTCTTCCCAATATGATAAAAAGCTGCAGTGAGGTAGAATACAGCCACGTGCAGCCTGCGCAGGAATGTGATGCTCAGCTGGGAAACGAAGAGGATTTGCAGGCCAGTCTTCTTCTGGGGCTCCGTCAGGAGTCTCACGGCCCGGTGGATCCGCTCTCTGCAGTAGGAGACTGGGCTCCACCATCTGGAGGCCGTGGTGGGACTGCTAGGGCGTTCAGATCCCTCAGCCTGGAGCTCATGTTCCAGACAGACGAGGGCCTTGTCCACGAGATAAGGTACGACGACGTGGAGCAGGATCAGGGCACCCCGACGCGTACGAGAGGGCACCCTCCGCTTAGTGGGATCAACCTGGATTATGCTGACATACTCTTCTCCAAGGGTCTGATAACCTGTGGGGGAAACGGTCAGATCTCACAGCAGGCGAGATCAGTCAGGAGCGATACACTGCAAAAAACCTTAGGTCGAAATGAAGTCTTCCTTACCTGCAAACGTTGTAAGGCAGTGGTATGCAAGATCCGAGAGAAGTTCTATTTCCTTTCTCCAGTCTAGCCACCTTTTAGACCCTGTGAAAAATCAAATGAATCCTTCACAACAGAAAATACGTTGCATGTCAAATAGCAACCTTCCATTGCTAAGATAAGTAGCCAAATCATAGCGTGGGAACATGAAATGTTTGACATAATCCGCCGCGGGAAAAAAAAAGAAAATGTGACGAAACAAGTCATAAAAATGTATGGATATTTAATATCTTCTTATTTAAATACGGACTCACCTGCAAAGGTTTGAAAGGCGTCATTGGCGTTATTTCTCAGACAGCTCTGGTAATACTCATCCTTTTGACTGGCACGAATCAGATGGGGTTGGTTTGCAGGCAACAAAGGCATGACGTTAACTCTTCAACAAGAAAAGAAACGAACAGCATCCTCAGTGTTGCCTACAAAAACGACTTATTATCAATATGGAGCAATACAGGCTCACGACATAAGCCGAATTACAGCGCCGATAAATGCATCCTTCTCGCTGTGGGAGATTAAAATCAGACACAACCGTAGCCGAGTCTCTCCTGATCCTAAAATATAAAAAAAAACTGAAAGAATAAAGAAATATATTTTACAAACTTACTCAACTCATCGCCAACCTACCTACTCCAGCCAACTCAAGGTCCATTGCGTTTACCTGCCTTTTCCTGTTCCTGTGCGATGCAGAAAAACCCGGATGCACCAGAGAGAGAACAATTTAGAAGAACCAAAAGTTTGAGAAGAAAACCGTAGTAAATAAACACAGCGGCACCAAGTGGAGGTATGACGAAAATAATTAGCAAATTAGTATTTTTAAAATTAATTTAAGCCTCTGTGCATGCATTATTTTTTTTTTGTTGAATTCGATATCACAGTTCCACGGCTTCAGTCCGGGTCGGCAAAACCAACGACAATGTTTGTGAAATGAGACGTGAAAAAAATAACAAAAAACAATGGTGGGGATTATTTTTTATTAATAAGAAAAGGTGAAGGAAAAAGGAATGGCTAGCACCGGCTGTCTTCATAAACACTGAAAAGAAATGTTTTGTTTTTGTTATTCAAATTAATCGTTAAAATTACGATTCTCTAGAGAGCCAAATGTCTTTCACTGACGTCATCCCAAAGAGAGTGCTGCATTTTGCCTTGGATAGCGATTCAGGCAAATTAGCATTGGATGCTAACCTAGTTTCAGAGTGTTTTACAGAAAAGCAATGTGGCAGGTTTAGAATGTACTGTCATTCAGTGACAGTGGCTCTTGCTGTTTGTACGTTTCTTTGGTCTGTGAGATGAACAGTTCTTTTTCGGGGATGCTGTGTAGGTTTCAACTGCTTATAAAGATTTGTACCTGCAGTCAGAAGTCACCTTGTGAAAGTGAAAGCTAGCTGGTATAGGAAAAAGGCTCTCTGGGGAAATAAGGTGCTGAAGTGGACGGAAACCTACAGTATTTTACTGCCAATACAACACAAGAATTCAATGAGATAAAAAAAATAATGAGGCAGCACTTTTAAATGCAGTCTTCTCCCAAGACTATGGTTTTCCTCAAGCGACATAGCCTGGCTGTAGTGTAAATGCCACAGTTTGCTTTATGAAAAACTCACACCATGTAATAATTAACTCTTACAACCTTTGACCTCAAACACTTCTCTCTCAAGTGTTTCAGAACCCGATCTTCTCCGATTCCAACTGAATCAGAGCAGTGCTCCAAGGGGCACTGTGTGTGTTCTATGTGGGGGATGAAACTTGCAAGTCTCCTGCCATTGCCCAGAAACTTGCAGAACCGGTTTCTTTGTGATTTCAGTCAAGCAAAATCAAGTCACAGCTTTTTGTTTCGCCAGTTAGCAGACACCTCCTTTTTCGTTTTGGCACAAAGTGCAGATTTATTACCTTCTAAGAGTCCCCTCCCAATCCAAAAAGTTACATTCGAGTTGTTTGATTAAGAACCTGCAGGAACTCATTTGCAGCCTACTGTGGGCCGGGAAGGGATTTAGTTTACAGTAAGGAGGAGGTGGAGTTTTTGTTTGAAACTCTAAGTTACTTGTTACTTCTTACAGACTGAGGCTAGGCTCACTGTAGCGCTCACACACACTTCACAGATGTGGCTCAGAAAATGGACATGAAGCTTTGTTCAAACTTTTAAAAGACGAAGGTAAGTCAGATTTCATTTGTTCTTGGAATATTTTATTATACCGCTCAAATAGTTCTTTCACGCCGAGGTCTGACCTTAATAAACTAAAGAGGTAAGTAAGTATCTAGTTTGTTGGGGTTACAGGGAAACACAGGCTACTTGTTTCAAAGTCATTACGCTTTTGTCTTCTCCTTTAATAATGAAATATAAAACGTTTCTCTGCTGCTTTTAACAATCTAAAATAAAGAAATCTATTTTTGAGGCAGTTCCAGATAACAAATCAGCAGCAGGTTATTATCGTAGAACTTATTTGGTGTAAATATGTGTTGTGGAAGCAGCAAACATTAATTTCAGGGTTTTTTTTCTATACTGAAACAGCTGTCAAACGGTCTTGCTACAGAATTAGTCTGTACTAACAAGATGAAACTAGCTTCTGCAGTTTTAAATACTTAGGTGCCAAGTATTACTTATGAAAATGATATATTACAATATTAACAATTTTGTGTTAAAAATAATAACACATTATCTTAACACAACTTTTTAGGAAAAAAATAAAATGTAAAGGGGCATTTTCATTTTTTACTTAAATTCAACCATTATTACGAAAAATTACATTAGCCAAGAAAAATCAAAGAAAAAAGTAAACAACCTTCTGGTTTCATTAACTTCTTAATGGTCCAACTTGTATTAATCTAGGTTAAGAGATTTGCTTTCAATTGAAATTTAAACTTTCTAGATTAGTGTCCCATGCTTTTAATAGTTCTCTGAATGGATCTTTGTTTAAAGGCAGGGAAATATAAAATGATTCAATACAATACAATATAATTTGACAGGTATTTCTTTCCCAAACACACAATGAGATCAAGGAAGTTTTATGTGCTGAACATCTTTAAAATTTCTCATTTTCTCATTTATTTTGTTGGCTCATAATCTTTTGCAGTACTCTTAACAGTTTTGTGCCTGATAAGATTTGAAAGGGAGTTATTTCTAATTGCTCGTTTTTCATTAGCACAGATAAGAGTATTGAACCGTGAGTTCAGGTTCAGTCAAGGAAGCAGCTGTTCTACCAAATTCATGTAAACTATAAGGAGTTCACTAACAAAACTGCGGGTTACCAGGTGTGCAGTCTATAAATTCTTTAAGGATTCTTTGAGTATAACAAGCAACTTTCTCTCTGTTGTTTACTGTTTCTGGTGAATCTGGAAATTTGAATCTGTGTATTTAATTTCTAAATATATGTACATATGCAAATACAGCACCTGGATGTGTATTTCCTAGCAATCAAATCTAATAGTAAATAGATTAAATGAAAGTCACAAGCCTTTAACAGACCATCATGAGCACCGTACCATTGTGCTTTAAAACAAGGACTGCTGGTGAAAAGCACATTAAGCTGAAGAGAAAAAATAGGATTTAACTTGTCAGAACATGGCCTGAGTTACATACACAGGTGTAAAAAAGTACAAGAGACAGTGTAATAGACCAATTGTGCAATACTGGATTATTCTGCACAAATTCAGTGATCATTTAAAAAAATATACAGATTATATATGTGTTTGTCTGGATAATTAGAGCCTTACAAAGACTGAACATTTTCTTTCATTAGGAACGTATGTTGCCTATAACAGTGTCTCCATTATGTATGAACTTTATTGATTTTGAATATGACACTATTTGTGTCCAGTCCTTTGGGGAAACATATACCATATATGCTAACAAAAACTAAATTCAGGACATAATGAAGAGCTGAGGCTATAGAGACTTAGATCCTTTTATCTGTCCGCATACTGTACCATAATGTATATTACATGTTAGATCTTCAAGTGTAAAATCATTAACAAAACAGAGACAACTAAATCTGGGTCTGAGCTGTAGCTTGTATGACTGAATATTTGTGTTGAAATATTTTTTTCTGTTGATATTAAAGCCATTAAACTTTAACACTGCTATCAAATGGCTCATAGTAGTTTTATTGTTTCATACCTGTATTAAGAAATATAAAGGCACAGAGAAAATGTGAGAAAATATTCTCCTTTAATGTGATTTTATTTCTATCAGAAAGGAATCGGTATACATCCCCCAGGGTATGTTTTTTTTTTCCTTGCTGCATCGGCAGTGATCTGATAAGCAGTGACTATCTGTAAACCTTACAGGTATTTTGTTGCTTTGCGGTAAAGCAGCCCTAGTGCTCAGTACATATTTCAGAGGAATGAGGATGAAACAGAGCACAGGTCATGGTGTTTCTTGCAAAGCACTACCACATATTAATCATCATGAGGAGATGGCACACTAGGGTACAAATACAGATAGGATGAAGACAGGTAAAAATTTTGATGATCTATCCTACTCTACTATATCATGAAGAGGTGTCATTCTACTTTTTCTGCCATTCTCTCTTCTCTCAGTTTGCTTCAGCTGTGTTGTCACAAGGATCAGATTTGTCACAACCTTCTTCCTTGTGTTTCCACCATTAACCACAATGCCTTGTCTGTTGACTCGCACACATGTCAGGCACACTCCCTGCCTGCTGTGATGCAAATAGGCCCTGACTGACAGCGCACTTCTATAAACAGTAGAAGCTCTGATCGAGCATTTAGTCTATAACAGAAATATTTTAGTGTAATCCCAGCGCATGAACTCTTGATAACATTATAGTGAGAGAAACTCTTTGAAACATCAGCTGTGGTACAGCATAGTAAAATGACAGCAACGTGTAGTAAAACTACAGTTAAATAACGGAATGGTAAGGTGAAGAAAAGTATGGATCTCCATGATACAAAGTAGAAACTACAGCAAAACTCAAGACATATTTAATGCAAACACAGTAAAAGCATGCAAAACCACCGTGCACATTTAGTATCCTAAATTTTCAAGGAAGTCACACACTGCATCTTGTTATTAGAGGGTAAAGGACCAGTAGAGCAGATACTTGATACTTAATAAGGTGTCATCTTTGATTAAACATGCCTTGTATTCCTTTCTGTGTATTATATTCAGGCTCTCTTTACCGCAGCTTGTATACGGCATGCTAAAGACTTCTTCATGCATTTCCTCCACATGTAATTTGACAGCAGTTCCTATTTCAGACCTACAGATCTATGCAGATCCAAAATGCCAGTAGCGACTGCTGCTGATTTGCAGACATGTCATTAGCTGTTGTAATCTAAAGTGGCAATCTCCTGACAGCCTTTCGGAAAGGAAGAAAATGCTACAGACAGAGAAGCACGTACGGTATGAAGGACTAGAACAGGTTCTTTGCAGGTTGCTGTTTTTCAGAAATATGTGTTCCACAAAGGTTTTAACTGGTCATTTTATAAAAAATATCCTATGGGATATGTTTTGTGTTTTGAAGTAAGCCATCAGTTCAGCTCCTCCTGAAGAGTAACAGAAGCTAACACAAGAACTATGTGAGCTGGCACTATATATCTGAGAAACTGCCTTCTCACTGCTTCTAGAGAGGCAGAAAGTGCTTCTAGAGCACTAATGGCAGAAGTCATGTGCTCTATAAAACATAGATAGCAACCATGTGTCCAGCGGAAAGTAGCAGT